ACTGTAAATATGAACAAAAAGGTTGTGGATAATTATACAGCCTGACCAATTCTACAGCATAAATTCATAATTTCCTGTTTGTCCAAGAACGAGACACAATTTTATACAGTAACGACGAAAAAAAATTCCAATAAATTATTGCGACTTTACAAACACAAAAGTAACATTCGACGTGAAAGTTATATATGAAATTCAATTTAACAGTAGCACGAAATGATCAAAGAATAGGCCTATATGTTTCCTACTCTATATTTGCCCCTGTTCGTAGAGCGAAAGTAAAAGAGCCAGAAACACATTACCACTATCGATACTCAAAAATTTCGTACGGCATCATGACACTTTACGAAGTTTTCATTAGTAATAACGATAGGCACGAAAATAAGTGGATCAAAACAACAAAAAATATCTTCAAAATGAAACACGCCACGCATTTAGGTCTACAAATTTAACATAAGTCACTGTATAAACTCCCTAATTTAACATGGATTTCACATGTCTAGCTTCCTTTTACAACACGCTTTTCCATTTAAAAACTTGCAAAGTAGGATACGAAACGTCGCTTTAGGGCTTTCCCACAGTAAACTTAACACGGCTGACAGTAGTGATCAGAGACAATATACGTTACTTGCTGTGTTGTTAATACCTACTAGGAAAGATAAAGTATCAGAAATGTTTAAGCGATACCACGGAATTGACAAAAGACGTCGCCGTAATGGTCAGGCAACTTCTCCAACACACGTGTCGAGCGGGAAGTCCTTCACACTTGCTCCACGCCCGCTACTAGGGAAATAATTGCTGTTTGCTGTAAGAGCCACAAGAAACACGTAAATACACTGTGGGACGAATGCTCGGTTTTAGTATGTTAGCAGGTGGTACATATAGAAGCACTTTAGAGGGTTAGCCTTTTACTTCCCTAACGGCATTAACCGACTGATCTTTGTAGCGAAGATGTAATGTGATTCCTGTAAGGTTCGAATTCAATTTGTACACATTATTTTGGAGCAATCAGTGTGTGTAGGGGAGTCTGAAGGCTCCCACAGCCGTCAGACAGTAAAATATGGTTACGAGTCCCGCGGGACACTACTGGCGAGGGTCAGCACCAATTTAGCAGTCCATTCATTCTTTCATCACACACAGGACATAAGCGAAGAGGGATTTGGTTTTTAGATGTTCTCCTTCAGCTGCTATCCAGTATTTCCATTTTATTTTACTAATTATTCAAAGATGCACCAACTTTATGAATTTTAACAGCTGCCCCCACATTTTTTTTTGACAAGAATGCCTTCCTCGAAAACTTGGCAAATAACATGAAATTACAAGAACTCCATATAAAGGTAATTTCGCTGGCCATTTCATCGCTATACAGTCTAAGTATATTTTCAACATCAACATGGTGGCCATACGAGCTACTGCGGTGAAACACTACAGTCACTGACACATGCGATCCTTAAATTACTGTGGCATATCTGAGAATCGTTTTGATACGGTAATTTTTGTCTGATGAAATATGATGTAGCCAACCATATAACATGTGGATATCCTTTTGTTTTCATTACGATAACTTATGAGCCATTGTGACTGGGTCACAACATTCGTTCTTTGAGATCATCAATCACGCTGAAAGATACTGAATTAAAAAGTTCGTCTGACGAATAGTATCAACATGGCGACGGACAGGCTACAGACATATCCCCTACAATTTTATAACGAGTAAGACACAACTAGTTTTAAAGAAATCAGGCGCCTTTACTCGAACCGAGAATGTACTTTCATATAGGATGAATTACGTACTATTTATTCAGTAGAGTAGTTGGTTGGGGCACTATGCTACAAGCCGGAAGGTAGCGGGTTCGATTCCTGATGAGGTCAGTGGATTTTTCAATAGACGTAATCATTCCAGCCGCAATGCGGCCCTAGGGTCGAATTAACCTCTAATAGAAATGAGTACCACGAATCTTCCTGGGGGTTAAGTGCGGCCGGCGTGTAAGGCTGACAATCTCACCTCCGTCTATTAGCCGATTGTTTAGATAATATGGAAGCCTCGACATCTCACAACCCTATGGGTCTCCATGGACTGTTACAGGGATACCTTTACCTTTTCTTATTTGAGCAGATATCACGCTGTGAAGTGTGTCCTAAGTGTTCAAGACACACTCACAAAGCGGCAGAGGCAACTGACAATCCGAGAAGTATTTAAATATCCATTGTTGCAGCTCAGAATTAACGTTTAACCCTAGTGCCCTTTGGTCTGAGAATGGCAACTGACTTGAAGCACCCAAAGGGTAATTTGGGGCAATAAAGATGTGTCACGAGAAGAAATGACTGATGCTTCCCCCGTAACTGAGACACCGCCTACGTTCACTCTCACATTACGCTGCTCCACCCACGCTGAGACAGCAGCCGTCACTCGGTAGGCTCCCCCACGACGACGATGACTCAGTATTCAGTGCAGATACGCAAGCACTATTGGGTACATAGCAACTACACAGGTGTCCTTCAGTAAGGTGGAAAACACTCCTTCACACCAAACTGCAACAACTGTGCATAAACTTACGGTGAGTCTAATGAGATGCAACTATCAAGGACTGGGGAAGTCTCAAGAGGATCTCGTCTTACACAAGATACATTATCTTCGTCACTAGAATGAACAACGGGAAAGCCTCTGTCAAGAGTCACTGTCCGGGGACACAGATTCACAAAAAGTAAAATGTGTGACTAACTGCGCCAATCTGCCCTGTCGATCGGACTGGTTCTCCATTATTCTGTTTTGCTTTCTTAGAATCTTGTCGTGAAGAAAGTACACAGGTTGGAGAGATGAACTTTGTTACCCTCTCTAGACACTCTTCTAGTACCTGAGGGGTTCGACGAATTTTGTTGGCACTCGGCATCATTTTTTTTTTTTNTTCTTGGGGTGGGGTGAAAATAAGTCCACTTGGTACGTCGGCTACTGTTTGGCCTATTGTACCAGCCCCGGGTGATAGATGTGTGTGTGAAACAGTCGGTGATACGAGAAATGGGAGGGGAAACCGAAGTACTAGAAGAAAATCTGACCTAGTGCCACTGTGTCCACCACAAATTCCACATGATCTGACCCGGCTTCGAACACGGGCCACCGCGGTGGGAAGCCGGCGACTAACCGCCTTAGCTATGGCACGGCCGCACTGGATACTAACGCTGGCCTATCCCATTCAGCCAGTCGGACCAGCCAAGTATCCAAAATACTGGTATCTTATCTGCAGTTTTAAATCAGACTTAAGAGTCGATTTAGGCCTTTTGAATTATTTGCTTTTTTATACTTACACGTAAACGCTTAACGGGTTTAACTGGAATATAAGTGCACAGGTTTTGTAGAATTCTTAGTTTTGTTTTTACAGAACTGTTGTAGCAGATGTCGCAAAAATAAATGGGGCGAAAAGGAGTATTCCAACAGGGCATACATATGTAATATTTTTCATACGCGTGCTACGCGATTTTGCATACTACTGGTTACTCTCATGTTTATTTACTGCAGGTACAAATGTAATGCAACAAAACAACTGACGCCTACAGACTATAAACATTATCTACTTCTCTACAGTTCTTTTGTTGGACCTTAGCCGCTTTTTTAGTTTCTTAATCCTAGACGCAGTAGGTAGGACTCCTTGCAACGGGGATCAGCCCGTCGCAAGGCCGCTACCTACATGCAGAATAAGACAGAATAAACGGACATAGACATCCACGACTTGAGTGTGATTCGAACCCTCGAACCCACGATCCCACCGTTCGAGCGGGCCATGACAGTTCACGCCTTAGACCACGCGGCCACTGTGATCGGCATAAGCATCCATCCAAGTGGAATCAGAAGGAAAGTCTTGAAAAGGAAAACTGGCTACCGTCGAAACTAATTAAACTGTACTAAGCAGTTCACGAGAAGCTGAAAGCAGCCCAGCTCGTGATGTAATTCCCTTCCTTTTATACAACCCGACGGCTCCCTACCGCCCTTGGGTCAAATCAGCTTGTACAGCACCCACGTAAATCATAAGCAAACAGCTACTAGACAAAAGGTCAACCTCTTCTCTTTACAGAATGAGCGAGGTCAATGTTCACAGCAGCTATCTCTAGGGTAGAGAGCATGATGCATGTGGATAGCCGAGATTACTCCGTCAGACACTGCGTGAAGGACAATTAGTTTATTGAAGATTACAGGTCTTTCACACTATCTACTACAGCATGTTCAGTCCTGAGTGTTCTATTGTGCAACGTCGTGTAGCAATGGAAGTCGTTCCAGACGAACTTACTGTGCGTGCTTTGACGATAGATGCAGTACATTATTCCTAAACCTCAGCAGCTACTTCCAATAACACAAGACATCATATTGCAATTAGATCATACGCGAAAATGGTTACTGCTTCTACCAAGGAAATTTGATTTGCCAGATAATTCCTTTTTGTAGGATATTTAACGACGCCTTCGGTATCTGGACCGCCTGGCGTCACTTAATCAAGACCTTGTAACTTAATTCGGTATAGAAGTAGCATTTAATTAGATACACAAAATCAAGTGGCTGATACTGAACTGACTCCTTGAAAAGGTATGATTAACCATGAAAATCATGTTTAACGCCATATAATGACCAGGAACGGTTCTATTAACGAGTCTCAAGGGGCAAACATTTTTTCTTTCCACCTGAGGAAAGAGAATGACACAGCCTGCTTTTAGGAAGACAAATAACGTTCAAATAAAATTCTTACAGGGAGTTACGAAGACAAATATTCTGTAAAACAAACAGTTAAACTATCCATTAAACTCTCTTATAATAATGACACTGAAAATTCTGTATTATTTATTTATTTTTTGAGGAATCCTTTGTAAGATCTGTAGCGCCCCTCAAATGGTTCCGGGGGGGGGGACTGGGAATTACTTTTCATATATTTTCAATGTGGGATGGGTGTGGTCTCATGTTTTGTGATTACAACCCTAACAAACTACAAAATCACCTCGTCTAAGAAAATTATACTCACCCTAGGATAGTAAGCTCTCCATATTTTGTGATTTGTTTCGGTTTATCTGCCGGACTGGACTCCTCGTGTTCTTCCAATAGGGGTGATTCGGTGCCATCCGATCTGCAAAAATAACCAAACTTGCATTCAATAATCGTGTGTGTGTGTTAGCTTACGACGCAGTCAACATCTCGATTATACAGAATGATCGATAATGAATTCGAAAAGGATCTGGAAGAGAACGTTCGTGGCGTAATAGAGGCACTATCCCGGAATTTACCTGGGGAGACAGGAAAACCACGAAAACCTCAGTCAGAATAGCCAGCGTTCCGACCGAGATTCGAACCGAGCACCTCCCGAATAAAACCCCACAGCGTTACTGCGACATCAGCTAGCTCGGCAGTTCAATAACTGAACTAAATCTATTACTGCTTCAAACCTAACCACTACAGACTGAAAAACTATACTTGCTTTTTATTTCTTAATTTGCTTGTATCTCGTGATACACTGGCAAAGTGTTTCAGTTAATAGGGGAACCCTCGAATGGCAGCAGTGGTGCTGATGGCTGTGACGACTTGTAGTGGTGGAAACTCGTAACGGTCTTAGGGCGAGGGCACACCAAAGAAACTGGCAATCGCAACGCAATCGCAATTCCCGGGAACTTATCAGCCTGAGTTGAACACATGTTACTGAATGGAGCACCGCAAATTGAGAAAACGGCAACGCAATTTCCGCTGCTCCATTCAGTAACATGTGTTCAACTCAGGCTGATAACAGTTCTGGGAAATTGCGATTGCGTTGCGGTTGCCAGTTTCCTTGGTGTGCCCTCGGCCTTAATTCATTACTTCTCGTCTTCCACGTAAGAGGAGATCTGGTGCCTACACCGGCTTAAAAAAATCTTTCAGTATCCTTTTGATCTTCCTCTTGTAGTTTGATTTAATGTTATGCAAACAAGCCAATTTTCTTCAAACGATGTTTTACAAAACATATTTTCGAATCATAAACCGGCAGAGCAAATTCGCAGTAATACGTGGCTTCATAATGAAATATCTTGGTGTCACAGCGCAGCAGAATTCCAGTACAACGCGAATGACGCACGGAAAGGGGAAAATATGGAAGTCACGTACCAAACAAAGATATTATGTCTGGCGCAGAGGATGACAACAACAGCGTTAATATTTACATTCAGATTACATTATCTGCATCATCATAGCATTATTATTTCGATACGGCCGATCTGAGACACACAAGGAAGGCACAAAGCGTGCGCAAGTAAATAAAAACATATTTCCTTTTACTCAGCAACAAAATCACACCAGGCAAAACACTACAAAGTGTCAATGTTCACAGTTTTAATTTGTGAAGCTCATTTATAACAGTACTGACAGCGAAACGATGGAATGGGCTATGAATATATAGGGTGTTCAACCAAGGAGGAAACGTCGCAACAACGGTGACCGGGCCCAACATTCCTCACAGATTGCTGCTGTAACTGTAACTGTAACGGCGCGCGTTTATCAGCGCTAATGACTCATTCTGCTATCAGCAGTTACAGCAGCAATCTGTGAGGAATGTTGGGACGCGTCAGCGGTGTTGCGAAGTTTCCTCCTAATCTGAACGCACTGTATATATACACACACACAGACACGAATTTCGAGGGGTTATATGGTGGAATATGTTCGAAACATGTGAACAACCACTATTTACTAAAGAATCACATTCAAATATGCATCTGGGTAAATTTTGGGATTAATCTCTGTTAATTTAAAAGGCATGGGAATATTCACTGCATGAACTACACTATTCTCGTTTTATATGCAGTATTTTAAATGATTTAACAGCCGTGGGAATTCGTTGCGCTGACCATGCGACACCTCTATCCGCGAAAGTTGGCACTACGCCAACAAGCGGTGGTTGCTCTGTCGATATGGTTCGTTTGCGGAGTGAAGTCCACGGAATTCGTTAGTTTGTTTTGTTTAATACTGTACGGACAAACAAACGACATAACTATTAAAAGTAATGAGCAAGTTGCGTCTCAAGAATCCGAAGTAACAACTGGTATGGAAAAACCCTGCATACTGAAACTCAATCCCAGAGTGCAGTAACACACTGTCAGTCATGTACTGAATCAGAGACCTTGGATAGGGTTATAGGCATGTAAATACTTAGAAATACAAATTCAAATCCAGTGAGGTTACGTGGTGCATTGTCCTCCATCACGTACGCTGGATAGAAATCCAGCTCAATATTGAAATAAATTAAAACCCCCTGGAAATAAAGCAGTCACTGCACACGCCTACAAGTTGGTATGGTCCCATTTTAATTCTAAATATCTCGGTTTAGGGTGAAACTAAATACATTACAGTATGAAGTGATGTGAAATAGTTTGTTAAAAGAAAGTGTTTCGTGTGTGTGTGTGTCGCTTAATTACGTAGAGCTGGCAGTCACATCGTTCAAGTAACCGTACTCCACAATGGGGTCACGAATTGCTTTATATAAAACTAGTTTCGCTAGATCGTAACTGTACAATGCTGTATATACAAGTGCGCATCCTTTCAGCATTCAGGAAATGTTACCACTTCACAACGCAATAAATACATAGAGCGTGTTCTAAGGGCACAAGGAAAGCATTACGATTTATGGGACCCGGGGGTTTCGTGGATCAGGGAGCTCTCGATCTTTGACCGCACGCCAAGTTAGGACCCCGGGTCGATTATTGATTCGCGCTTTTTGTTGTTTTGTGATGGCACAGACCTTGCAACAGACTGGTCAACATTCTAGGAATCCTACAACGCGCCTAAAATATTCCCCCCTCCTTAGAATTACAAGGTGGAACAAATTTAAGAGTACCAAAATGAAGAGAGAACACAAGTAGGGAAGCTTAGTTCTAGGGCAAGAACAATACAGTAATGCTAATTTTAAAAGGCCTAACTAAAAATAGGACTCACCATTTACGTAACTGTACATTCAACAAAGACGATTTCCATAAAGAAAGT